ACCATCTCCCCTGATGCCAACTATTAGGATCAGGTTGGGATTTCTCTGCTTTAGGCCGCATACGTTACATGTCGATTGTAGCCAAAGTGTAACAATTACAAGTCAATCTGTCCACAATATCATTGTAAGCGGCGTACACACTGTGCGAGAATGGGAAGCCTGACAGGGGTAGCAACAGTAACTAAGGGAATAACAAAATTGTTATCCAGCAGGGAGTGTCTTCTGTGCTGCAGAATGGGAGTTCATCCGAGAAAGGTTGGAGACTGAGAGGAAGTAACTAAAAGAAATCAGCATGGAAAGGACCCAGGGATGGAACATGAGAATTACAGCTGCTGGTGATGGAAGTTTAATCACTCTTGGTCCCGTGTAGCTCAGGAGGAGGAGGAGGAGGAGGGTTCAAACAGGATTAATGGTTCAGTTCCCACTGGCCTTCTAACCAACAAAAAAAAACAAAAAAAAACCCCTACAACTTGTGATTCTGCAGGGCAGTTTGAGGAGCGGTGTTGAATAAATGATGCAGGTCATCTTCTCTGCTCAAAACCTGGCAAGTGTAGTCAGTTTTACTCTGACTCGGACTGACGAGAGCAGTAAGCTGGTAAAATACCGGGTTCAACACGGCACCAGCATCGATTCTTGACCTTGCTCACAATGAGACTGCGGGGTCGAAATACAGTAATGATTAATGAGACGTGTATTTCGGAGCGCTGGGTGCCCAGAAACTGTAGCACAGGTTGATGTTTGTCTTCTCATTAAAATATAATATGTTCCCCATCAAGTTTATGGCTGAATTACTCAGGCAAAGACTTTTGAACAGATTACTCTTCTCAGAAACCCATTTTTTTCTGGGCACTTCAGAGGGAGGAAAGAAAAAAAAAGAAGCGTCGAAGCCAGCAGCAGCAGTGAAAGAAGCTGTTATCAGGCTGCGCAGTGGCTCTGGCTCAGCATACTGATTAGTGTGTGAGTGTGTCTTTGTGCATGCATGCATGAGCGTGTGTGTTTATCTTCAGTACGTATGAGTGTTGTTCATTTTGTCCGCTGTAATTCCAAGGGGTCAGTAAGTAGCCTTTTTTTGTTTTTACAGACTGGCCGTACATATGTGCGTTTTTACTACAGTGTTGTGTATGTCCTCCTCGCTGTGTATGTTCATGTAGCGAACGGCAGGTTTCCCCGGTCCAGTCTCCTCCAGTTCATTAGGGCTCACTGTGATATGAAACAGAGCCAGTGAATCTGTGTGAACACACACTGCACTGCATCCTGTCCTGCAGTTAAAGCTAAAGCCACCGACCCTGTCACTGTCTGTCTGTCTGTCTGTCTGTCTGTCGTGGCTCTACTGGCCCTGCAAATGCTGCTTTGCTGCCGTCGTCCCGCTTTAGCGCTTTCTTTGTCATCTACCTTGTTTTTCTCCTCTCTTCCTCTCTCCTTTTACTCCTCCTCCCTCAGGGCAGCCGAGTGCACCGAGTATCAAAGCCCTGGAGGCTGGGGAGCAGGCCTTGGGTTGCTGGGCTTTGCTGTTGCTGTTTACACTCCTCCATCCTCTGCTGTTTCTGCACCACATGCTCTCTTCTTCTTATCTCTCCTTTCAGCACTCTGCCTTCAATACCTGTCTTTTTGAATTTCTGAAATGTGTCAGTGAATTCAAAGGGAGAAAATCTGCCAACAGGGCAGGATATTTTCAATTGTTTCTATCCCAGGTTCCTTTTATCAAGTGTTCTGATGCTTGTGGGGCTCTATGCTCACTGAAGATGATGCCACTTTTTTCTAGTGTCACTAACAGCATTACAAGCATGACATTGTATCCTCCTACTGACAGCTAATTCTCTTGCTTATGTTAATTAAACAAAAAAAATTATAAGACTACATGAGGCTGGATTACGTTTCAAGATGGGCTTGTTTCGCAGCATCCCTCCGTCCTCTCCTCTCCTGTTTAAATCATCCTTTTTGATCTTCCCTCCTCTTTTATCTCCTCTCCTCTCCTTTTTTCTCTCCTCTACTCTCCTATTTCGCCTACATTCCTCAGGAGGATATGGCACAGGCTCAGTGCCTGCTGTGTCCTCTGTCTGTTTGTCCTCTCTCGCTCTAACTTTCTCTTTTTGTCTCTCGCCCATGCTCCCTTACTTAGTCCCCACTTTTTCTTCTCTTTCTCCACTCGCCTCCCTCTTCCCTCTCTCCATCCCTCTATCAGTCCTGGGTGTGAGAATGTATCACCCCTGATGAGACACTGTTTGGCTCTGTGTGCACGCCTGTGTCGTGTGTACGCCTCGTAGCTGCGCCATTTGCTATAAATATGCAATTTTTTGGCCTCCCTTTGCTCAGCATGAGTAGACATCATACCAACTTGCCATCATGTTCCCCCACTCTCCTGCGCACACAGATTTATACACCTCCTTGAGTTATTTATTTAAGTGTGTAGGAGCAGTAATAGGCTCTAAAATTGCTGATACGATTGAGAGAGCAGGAGGCTTGCAGCGCAGATTGCAGAGTTGGCTGAATGGCAGGACTCACAGAGCTCCTTCAGCAACTCTTACCTTTGTACCTCTTTTTTGTAGCATTTTGTACAACTCGGTTACACTGGAGTTGAGTTTGAAGGCAGTGAGTTTTGATTTTCGTTAGCCGCTGTTGAGCTTTTTTAAAATCCTTTTTCTAAAATCATTTTTCCTGTTATCACTCTTCAGTCCTACTTAGCCATCGTTTCTGGCTTTGACGCCGGCAGAATAGTGGAGGAGATGCTTCATGCTCTGACTGTGTTAACACGCTGTAATTTTCAGCCTGGTGGTCTTAAGTGCCACTGCTGTTTATGAGTGCCTAGATTCCTTTAGCCTGCCAGTGTGTGTCTCACACATCATGACTATTGTCTGGCATAAAGCACCAAAACAAACTGAAACTGAGAATGTCTTGTTGACTAACCCATTGGCTATTTCTAATGTTTTATGACACATGAATGATGATTTGGTCCTGGGGGAGGGGAGGGTGGGTTTAAATGTGGTGTATACATGCTTCACAATCTCAGCTGTTAGAAATAGGAATGTCAAAACTGGAAATACAAGCTTTCAGCAATTACAACTGATAATTATGATCATGATGAGGCTCTTTTTTTCGCCTGGTCATCCTGCCTTAATGTTTAATGAGAACTCTCTTTAATGAGTTTATGCTTTCACATCTCAAACCATTACCTTGGGCAAAGATTTTAGCTCATGTGTGTTTCGGTTCAAGTCTACGAAACTACTCTGTAATGTGTATAGCAGGAAACTCTGAGGTTTGTGTGTAACAGTTCATGTCCATGTGTGCACGCATATGTCAAGTGTGTATGTCCAAGGGTTTCACTGAGCTCCAGCAAAGCCGTTATATGTACATGTGTACACAATGTGGTCAGTTCATTCTGTTTTTCCACCGGCCTGCCTCTCTCCTCACCTCCTATATTCCCTCCTCCCCACTTTCTCTCTCTCTCCACCTCACCACTGGCAGGGCTCACCAGTGAGAGAGCCCAGTGTGTTGGACTGGACAGAGGGTGCATTGTACCGGTTGGCCATCGGACGCACACACAGACGCACACAAACATCTCAACCATACTGACCGCCTCACACTGGGCAGCCGCAGTCTGTCTGGCATACATTGGTGACCTCACAGCTAGCTACTGGTGCGAAAAGTGTGTGTGACGTGTGTGAGTAGAGGAATCAGCGTAGCTGGAAAGGTCACAGCTTGTTCTTGTTTTCTCTGCCTTTAGTCATTTCTGTGAAGGGTCTACCGCTGCAGCAACATTTACACAGATGTTAGAAAAGGATTTCGGATGTCTCTCTGTCTTTGTCTGATGAGTCATCTCCCAGGATTTAACTTCAAATGTAAGATTTTGAGATGCATAGTTCAGACAGAATACCATGTTCCTATTACAAATTAGGTGAGAAGTCTCATGATCTCTAAGATAACAGCTGTGGATACATTTGACTTGGTACAGCTGAGGCTGATGGGAATGTCATTAGTTTTGCAGTTTTTTTTGTTACAGATAAACGTATTGGACAAATGATGTACAGTGTGATTATTACAATCATGGGGACATGATTGTCTGTAGCAAATTTGATAGCAATCCATCCAATAGCTGTTGAAATATTTTACTAAAAACCAAAACTGTCAACCTCATGGTGGCACTAGAAGAACAAAGTCTGTAGGATTCTTTCCCTAGGAAACATGAAATTAATTTCAGTCTGGACCAAAGTGATGGACTGACATTGCAGTCCCCTAGAGCACGACAGAGCCCCATTTTGTTTTGGTTTCCAAAAGACATGTCAGGAGAGAGTAGGCCAAACCAGTGGGTAGTTGTACTATTCATTAGTTTTTGTCAGGGCTCCTGTTGAGAGGGGGATCTGGGCTCAAGAGTGCTGCATTGGTGGAAGTGTCTGACAGGGTTTATCTCAATGAATCAGCGTTTTTTGTTTTTACAGATTTGACTGTTAATGCACCCTGGTGTGATTGGATGTCAAATATCTAATTGAGAAGACGTGGAACATTCTTAGTGAAACACATTCCATAGCTACTGCATAGTTTCTACAGTACTGTCATCAGTTAAGAGCATAGTTTTGTGTGAATGAAAAAACAACTTGTGGGTGTGTTGAGGTTGTCATCGGGCCGCACTGCAGAAAAAGAACACAGCAGTTACTCTGACTGGGTTCTACAAATTGGTCTCACATCAGTACGTTTATGGTACTTTATGTCTGTTGCTTTAGATCAGCAATCCAGTAGACAGTATAAAGAATATAGATTCTGGCCCAAACCCCAGCTCCAGTAAGAGCCTCAGGCCAGGTCCCAGAACAGCTCTACCCACAGTCCCAGACAGCCTCACCCATCAATAAAACAAACCAAAGAAAGAGGGATGAAATGTCGAGTGTCTTCTTTAAACACTCAAGTCAAATCTGGAGTACATATTTGGCGTCCAAAAATCTTGAGGTCTTAAAGTCCTAAACTAATTCATGTGGAGACAAATATGAAAATGAATCAAATGTTCTATTTTGCTTGCAACCTTTTTATTTAAATGAGATTCTCTAGTTCAAAGAGCCCACTATCTAAGCTCTTATTGCTCCCGCTGCAAACCTGCTTACTCCTGGCAAAGCTAAACCATGGGGGGGAATCAAAAACAAGCAGGAACAGCACAGTGTGAAAGGCTCCACACTACACTGACGAGATGTTAAAATCCTGCAGATGCTGTTTTAGGGTCTGCAGATAGAGTTTCAGGGAGGGCTCTTAGGTCAGCAAAAGTAGGCGAGAGAGTTCAGGTTACTGCAACAAAAACTAAAGCGCATATGTTTTTTCTTCCTTCACCAATCTTTTCTTGTCTCTTCTCTTTTGTTGCCTTTGCTCATCTGGTTATCTCTCCCCGTCTCTTTCTTCTCTTTTACGTGTTCTTCTCTGCATCCTCCCACACTCACTCCTCTTCATTTCTGGTCCTGAACTGTCAGGCCTCTCTGTAATAAAGTGAGTGGTGAGTCAGCGAGGATCCAGATACCCTGATAAATCTCAGCGTCTTGAGAGTTGAGAGTGTGAAGCAGGCTATAAAGTATAAACACCCTGCTGAACTAAAGCCCAATCAGTCTTTTTCTGACCATATAAATGACAGGTATATTCACATATGATTGAAGAGACTGTCCTGTAGATGAAAAATAACAGTTTTTTGTTTGGGGATGGAGGGCTATAAAATGTCACAAAAACTGCTTTCAAGTGATTTAAAAAAAGCAAACTACAACTTACTTTCATTTCTGCTGTGATGAAATGTTATGACGCGTTCATGTGTCATCCACTCCTTCCTTAATGTTATTTTTTCCCATTTGGCGAATGCTTTTATCCTCCTCTCCTGTGACTGCATTATCAGAGTGGGTGGCTCCTGTGGGAGCTTAACATTACCCCTGTCCATCATTTCTACACACAGATCGTTACTACTTCTCTAACAAAATGTCAGCCAATACAATGTGAGGGATCTGGATACATTATGGTGTCGTCCTTTTGTCCTTGAAAGAAAGAGCCGTCCCACAAGCCAGCAGCATAGTCTGCAAAAAGAGAATAACATAAATTACCCCACATTCTATCTAACTATATTTATCTTGAGATAAATAAAGATTAACATTGAGCTAATTTGTTATCTCAAGATAATGTGATTAAGTAAAAGAGAAAACAAAATCCTTAGATAGTTATCTGGTGATACAGTAGTATATTTATCATGAGAAAATCAGTTTATTATTTTATTATTCCATATTCAAGTGTCTGTACTTACCTTACAAACCTCTACTGAAAACCTTATTACAGAATCATCTGTCTTTAACTGCTATACAAGTAAAGTTATCATGTTTAGTTTGGTCTTTCCGGCAATAGATACTAAAATATCCCACCAGTCTCACTGGACTGGTATTTTTTTAACTGGTATTCTTCTGTCTCACAGGCACATGGACTCCTTTCAACCCAGTGACGGTGCGCTCCATCATATGTAAGTAGCTGCTGACAAAGACATTTTCACACAACTGCCTGTTGTTCTCAGACTATGCAAGTTGTTTATTTGCCTCCTTTCCATGACAACCGGATAAATTCATTATGCTTTGAGCACTCCGAGGGCAGAAACAAACTTATCTTTGGCTTCAGTATCTGCTGCTTTAGTGGAAACCTGCAGCCATCAATAAAAGGGAGGAGGAGAAAGCATCTGGAGGAAATAGGAAATTTAGTCTCAAAAGGCTCTCCGATTGCCTCAGACTCTAAGTATTGATCTGTTTACACGCTACACTAGCTGTAATGTGCAGGACAGGTGAGGTTAAAAACTTTAAACTCTGCAGTGTAGTCGAGGACCAGGTTAAACTATTGTAGGTCAGACTGTACCTGGACACAAATGAAACCAAATATGTTTTTGTACTTAAAGGTATTATTGAATCTCTCCTTTTGGAATCTGGAAGAATGTGGCTGATTTATCAACGTCAAACTCCCTTCACAATTTATACTACTACTTCCAGACACAAATATGTTAAACATATCTTAACCCAGGTCTAATGTGTACTTTGTTCCCTTTTTGTTGTGTGACTTGCAGAGTAAATCTTTATAATTCCATCGCCTCCCCTTCCCACTGTACCATACTCAGTAAATCCATTGTTTAATAGTCCCCCAGCAAGAAGCATATCCTGTGATAACACTCCCTTTGTTGGGAGGTAATTGGATTGAACCGCACGGGGGTGAGGAGTAGAGTATTGGTGGTGGGGGGATCAAGCAGTTTGCCTTCTCTGTTATAATGCAAGAGTTAGTCAAGTGTGACACCCATAGTTTACACTTCTCTGTCCCCCGACAGAGAAATGGGGTACCATTTTTGCTTTCATGTCATCCAGCTCCGTGCTGAAGTCCAACATGTCGCGTGATTAAAGGCATACGTGTGGCTAGACGCGACAGAGAGTGAGTAATGTTTCTCTCTCCTTCAGCCATGTTCGACAGGGAAAATAAAGGCGGGGTGAACTTCAACGAGTTCGCCGGCGTATGGAAGTACATCACAGACTGGCAGAACATCTTCAGGACCTACGACAGGGACAACTCTGGCTTTATCGACAAGAACGAGCTCAGACAGGCGCTGACTGGATTCGGTGAGCAGCAAAGTATGACTGTGTATTTCAGTTTGACGGATGTGGTGGAGGGCTTCATAGCTGTCTGTAGGAATGTCCTATTTCTGGATCAAAAGGTCAGATTTTGTCTTTTCATTAGCTCTGTGTGATTGGATAGACTTGCATGTCACTGGAAATTGCTAATTAAAGGAATAGTTTGGAAGTCTCTTCTTGATTGACAGTCACTGTCATGCTATAAAAACGTATGTTCACAATCATTGTTATTTAGTGCAAAGACACATTCGTGTTTCAGATAAAGCTAACATGATTCCACTGAACTGCTGTAACTGTCTGTGTCTTAGTGATTCTGTGTTTGCACCTTCTAAAAATGCCCAAGGCTTTCAATGTGTTTTTGAAATTGTCGCTGACAACATATTTCAGTAATGCCTCAGTGACAAGAGCATATCATACTGATGGTGGCAGTTCTGTGAAGAATACCTTTAATTCAACGTATCATGTCTCAAATACTACTACTACCCCTCAGCTCTGCAGCAGTCTGTTTTAAAACGTTATCCTTCGCTATAAAGTCATGATGGCCAGGCTTTCTATGTACTCACCAGCCCAGTACATTGTTGATGTCTTGTTTGCTGTGTTGTTTGCTGTGTTGTGTACAGGCTATCGTTTATCAGATCAGTTCTACGGCACGCTGATAGACAAGTTCGACCGCCAGAGGAAGGGACAGGTTGCCTTTGATGACTTCATCCAGTGCTGCATTGTACTACAGGTAACCCGAGTCACACTCAATCAAAACTAACTGTATAATACAATTCATATTTCTCCGAACTCATGCACATACATGAATATAGGATGTCCTTTGGTTTAGCACTTGAATCACAACAAGGCCACTCTTGCATTCATAAGATTCAAAGGGGGTTTTAATTATGCAAACACATTACAGTCTTGCCTTTTACATTATTAATCTTCTGTGGAAGTTCCACTTGAGCCTGCCATGTTCTGTTTCAGTAATTTCACACCCATACAATTGAAGCTGCAAAGTATGACTATAACCTTTCATTAATACAGCAGCTCTTGAGATACACTTGGATAGTTATATAACAGTAGCCTTTGAAGTGCCTCGCTCAAGGTATCACATCACAATAACTCTAGCTCCACTTTATTTGGCACTTTTTCAGAAATATATTTGATTGAGTGATCTTGTGTTGATATATGCGTATCCCCAAAAGTATAGTGTAAAGAATTTACTTATTCTATTCAGTGACCCAGTGTTGAAGGCCTGTTATAAAAGAAAAGCGTTCAACATCAAATCTGTCTGAATAAATGTATACCATTACAGTTTGGTAATTCATTATTTTCCCTTTCCCTTCCACAGAGGTTGACTGACGTGTTCAGGCGGTACGACACAGACCAGGATGGCTGGATCCAGGTTTCATATGAACAGTATCTATCCATGGTCTTCAATATAGTATAACGCACACGGATCACCAGAGAAGAGCACAACTGGACACAACTGTGCCAAAGCTACCGGCACCTCCTGGATGTCTGCCCCGGTGGACACTACAAGATTTTTTTAGCCCCAGTTGAGCTGTTACACACACATTTATAAATTAATACGACTTAAAGAAACCTTCAGTTGTTTGAGGTTGCTCTGCCCTCCAGATGACAGTATCTGGAGGTACAACTACAAAGCTTGATGTATTTAAAAAAAAAAAAATCTTGTAGTGTTGTGTTCAATGACCAATCTGAGCTAAGTCTGTGTTGGGGTTGGGGAAAATTATGGACACATCCTGTCTTTCTGTCTGTCAGTCCGTCTGTTATTGTTGACAAACTTTTTAATGTCTTAACTTTAATTGATACAATTAAAAAATAACTCTGTTGAGAGTAAAAATGATGCATTGTAAATATGATTTAAGATGCTTTGCATGCTTTTCAGGGAAATTTAGCCCCATGTTGAAGCATGCTTTCCCTTTCTCTTGTCTTTTCCTCAGCCCTATTTTGCTCAAAGCCATGTTTACAGAAACGGTGAAAGCAGGTCATGTTCTGCTTTGAGATTCACTGACATGCCAGCTTACATGCCATATTTGTACAAACTTATTTTTAACAGCAAATCTTCAAATGTTAGAACATATACTTTTTGGTAGAGGGTAAGCATAATGCCTTTTAGTATGGCTTATTTTTTGTGCATGATGCCTTAAAATGTGTAAAAACAACACAAAAAGAGAAATCTTTTATTAAAAAAACTGAAAATCTGATGGTGGAGTTTGCTTCAATCATTTACAGGATCACAGAGCCACGTTGCACTGCAGGGGGGGACCGGTTGACCTGTAAAGTGGCTCAATGTCGCCCTCTGCTGTACGTTGGCAGTTTTTACCACTGCAATGCACCAATGTGGCCCAGAACCTTGTGCATTGTCTCTGTTTCTATGGGGGAGTATAAACGTGTTGCGCCTTCATATTAGAGTTGAGTTGAAGTCTGAAGTTAGCTGACCTGGAAGGATACTTCGCGGTTAGCGCAGTCTGTTGCTAGTTATTGAATATACGTTTGAAAATCATTTTAAACACCATACCGCTGAATTTGTTGATTGTTCGTGAGTTTAAGCAATGGCGCTGAAACATTTTCCGACTCTGACGCACATTTTAGGTGCTTCCTATAAAAGTAAAACATTCGGACAGTCGACAAAAGCGAGTTTGTTGTTGGGGAAACCCTTCAGCTCTCCGACGGGAGGTGAAGACACAGGAGCAGGTATGTGTGGAAACATGCAGTAACTTCATACTGACTGTAGGGGGCGGCAGAGGCTGCCATAGTGCCAGCACGGACATTAACACACCTGTACTCCATCATAACTCTTGATAAACACGAGAACTGTGGGTCTTCATACCATCAAGATACCATCAATAACATAATTTAGAGGCAAAACAGGCAAAGCTCTCTGAACGAGCCAATAAACATTTCCTCAATTGAATAAAGAATAAAGGTTAATTTCACACCGAGCTCAGCCCTTTCCACACTCCACTTTTACTCATCATGGGTAATAACAGAACTAACGCAGGTGTAATGAATCATCTCAAATGAGGGCTCCCTTCCAATAAGACATGCCAGTGACTCAGCATGCACAATACAAAAAGACCTGGGAAAGTATTAAACCTAAATGGTATGCAGCCAGTATTAATATTTTTTTTTAGTCCCAGCTGTAGTTTTTTGCTATGACATGTTAAAACATGCTATGAAAAAAGGGCCACCTGTTGCTTTCCTCTTATTACTTTCCGTTTCTGAAAGCCTTTTTGCTTCAGTCAGATATTAAAATAGTTGATTAGAAATTCTTAATTAACTAATCATTTCAGATCTATTCATAATTAGTTTTTGCATTAAAATGAAACAATTCAATGTGACCGTAATGTTTAATGTACATTTCTCTGCTGGCTCACTGCATGTTGCTCACAGTCAGTCCTGAAATGTGACATAAAATGGAAACAAACACTACATGTAGGTAGTTAAAACATGGTTCCACTCCCTTGCACACACTGCACTTTGTGATAATTTGTTTGGGGTGTAGCAGAGCAGAAAGGGCGGCCTAAGACAAATTGCCTTTTTTTTTTTTTTTTTTCCTCCATCCTGATGTGCCTCACTTCTTCTGGGTTTTGTTTAGCAGTCTCTTCTCTAGCCGGTGCGAGTGAGGTTAATGCATCCAGTAGCCTTTGTTTTCCTTGCTGGGCTCTTTGGATGCAGTCGCCTCTGGCTGCGGTTGACAGCTGGATTCCCTGGGATGACCCCAACAATGTCAGGTCAACTGCCTGCTGCAACCTCAAGCCACAATCACTGGCGCACACACATATAAACACACATTGAGATGGAGCGAGAGCCAAGACCTTCGCCTCAGCCGGGACCATCTCTCTCATTGTTTCTGTTATCACGTCTGTCCACATAAAACCATTTACATTCCATCTCCATCCCTCCTGCCGTGAGGGTTTCAACTTAATGTCTCCGGGTCGGCCTCTTTCTAAGTGTTGTGGTCAATATTGGTTTCTGTCTGTGCATCTTTATCATTCTCTGTCATTAGTTGCGGGACAGACTGTGGTCACGGAGCGCAAGGGGTCTGTGGTTACCGTGGGGATAAACCGCCCAGAGGTGCGTAATGCGGTGAACCAGGAGACGGCGAGGCGTCTGCTGGAAGAGCTGGAGGCCTTCGACCGCGCACCAGACTTGAACGTGGCTGTGCTGCATGGGAAAGGTAAGAGAACTGCAAACTGTTGGACAGGAAGCTGCTATCCTGGCTCTGTGGGAAGGTCCATCACCTACCATCACCTTTAAACCTTAATCTGTACAAAAACTAAAGACTTAAAACAACACGTTGTGGCTTTTCAGGGGATCATGTGCTAGACTATTTCTTTCCTGGGAGAAGTAACTTGCTGGACTCTCCACTGGTTTCTTGGCAACGTTGCAGTCATGACAAGTCTCATATTTTAGCTTCATATTTGTCATACAGTCATGAGAGTATGGTTGATCTTTTCATCTGACTCTCAGCAAGAAAGCACATTTCCCAAAATATCAATTCTTTCCTTAAAGAGAAAATCAGGGAATTTGAGGTATTGTCTTGCAATTTTAGGTACTTTTACAAAAGGTTCATTTTATGTCAGAGTGTATTTTATAACTTCCTATTTTCATGGTTTAATAAGTAAAGGAAATCAAACCAGAGAGAAACATTATCGGTCATAGAGGGGCTCTGATGCAGGTATGGAACATCACGGGATAGTCATTGAAATGTCTTTATTTTTCATCCTCCTTCAGCTCTTCATCTCATCATGTCCTCTGTCCTCAGCACTCGACCTACTCTCTCTCCCTCACTTTCTTTCTCCGCCTCTTTTTTTCCAGCCATTGCTCCTTGGGCTCCTTAGATCTAGCCAACATACAGAGGTGACCAAGCTACCACACACAGTAAAAAAAAAAAAACACACCTGTGGGGTGGCCTGCACTGTGTCAGCCAGAATCATGCCAGGGCTCCCAATACCTCTAAAAATAATCATCACACACACTGAATGAACTCCTTCCCTCAGTGGAAATAATGTCTTCAACCTGGATCAACCTGTCTGCTGTATAAAGTACCCTGTGGCCTCAAGTGACACAAGTATGTACTTTGTTTGGTACTTCAGAGGTTGGAGCCTCTCCAGATGACGGCAGCTGAGTGCCACTAGTCTCAGCTGTGAAAGGAAAACTGTGTGTGTGTGTGTGTGTGTGTGTGTGTGTGTGTGTGTGTGTGTGTGTGTGTGAGAGTAATTAGCTCGTGTTAAATGGGTTCGCAATGAGCGGCACAGTAGGTCGTTCCAGTTAAAGTGGCTCTTGTGTGATTTCCACGATGTCTGTAATGTGCCTTTAATTGTTCCACCGCACATTCCTGTCAGCAGGTTGTCCTGTGTTGCCGCTCCACCGTAACAAGAAGACTGACCTTCAGCAGCGATTAGCAGTGTGTCTGCGTTATGAGATGACAAGCAGGGAGGTTCTAGTTTGGATGTAGTGTTTCTGAAACACATAAGGAAGCCATTTTGATCAAATTAGCGCCAACACGATAACTCTCTCAGCTCTCGTTTTTCGGTGTCGACGTGTTTTTTTTAAGTCGTGGAATTGAGAGTAATTGCTTTCTGCAGGTTTTGAGTATCCTGGCACATATTTGGAGTGTTTGGGATTTGGATTTCTGTGGGCGTTTGTGGTCAGGTACAATCTAGATGTCAACCCAGCTGTGTCACTACAGCTGAACTGAGATGAAGCCTCACTAGAGCCATAAAAACACATTGTTCAGTGCTAAATCTTTTTCTTTTTGACAATGTCTTCAAGTGACGAACATATTTTCTCACTAACTTCGAGAGTCGGTGGTTTTATTTCTCCCAAGATTTAAGAAACTGGATGGAATTTGGTTTGTGGTTCTCACAGCAGCAAAACATTACATTAACAAACTTCAACAGCAGCCTCTCCTCTAAAAGACTGCGCCAGTTCAAAGGTGTTGAATGGGGATGAGGTTAAGGCCTTTTTACACAGCCTTTTTAACTCACATTTTGACTTTTCATAATAGGAAACAGCGCAAGTGTCACTGGCTCAGATCTGGAGCTGGTTCCTGGGCGTCGCATACTGCTCCTAGCTCTTAGGAGGCTCATTTTCCTCCGTTTGTTTTATATGAAAAGAGACTTGAAGTGGTAAAATGTTCTAGTAATTCACAAAAATATAATATAATACTAATAATATAGTTAGAGGAACACCTAAAGCTCATGTAATTTTGTGTCATTTTCTGCTTTACTACCCGCCATAGATTCATCTTCCAAGCCCTTGACATGACTGTTCACATACTTTTGCTCATAAATATACTTTCTACAGAAGAAATAGTCCCTTTGAAAACGGTGTGTTCAGCATGGACTAAGAATTGTCCTTTTTTAATGCTTAAACCCACAAGGCTTCACCTCAGTCTCCCAATCAATGCTCTTCTCTCATTAAAACATCTCTGATATAACTGCACCGCTTACTTTTTAAACTTCATGTCCAACTGTTAGTCGCTGAAATGATAATTGAATACAGTTTGTTTGTCCTCTCAGTTAACTAACTTAACCTCCTCTAAGAGTCTAAATAAAGCTTTAAGACCCTCCATGAATGGACCAGCTCTCCATAGCTTCTGCTCTTTTTTTTTTTCTTCCTACAGGGACAAAGGGGTTTAGGGAGCTCCGTCACATTGCTGCTCCCATAAACAGCATGACGCACTGTTTTTCTATAATTGCCCTGCGCTGACCCACAGCTGTAATCAAAGCTCCCAGTTGATGGGTGTTGCTGGCACATGTGTTCGTTATAATCATTTTCATTACAGTTACATTAAGGAGAGAGGAGGATTTTATGAGTCCCTGTCTGAGCCTGTGACATAGTGTTTGTAGGCCTCTTGGGTAATGTTGTAATTACCACATGAATCCAACGGAAGGGGCCGTGGTCGGAGCGCGTTAGTCTTCCATTAATGAGGATAATGCGTATGTGCATATGTGTGCACATGCGTGATCTGCGAGCATGTATGGGATTTGGGCTCTTTAGGGAAGAGAAGCAATCGTGTGCCAGCCAGCCCAAAGCAAGCTGCTATCCAAATTGCAGCCCTCGGACTCCAGCTCAACTTGTTGTTTTTTTCATCCTCATCATTTTCCCTTCCTCTCTGACTTTCCATCTGCCATACTTTGTAATTTTGTGGTCTCCTCCAGGAGGGAATTTCTGCGCTGGTTATGATCTGAAAGAGCTGGCCAATCACACAGCCTCCCTCAAATTGGAGCAAGATGTCACCAAGGGTCCCGGTCCGATGGTGAGCGCTGTTTGGGCTGTGTGTGTGTGTGTGTGTGTGTGTGTGTGTGTGTGTGTGTGTGTGTGTGTGTGTGTGTGTGTGTGTGTGTGCGTGCTGGTGAGGGTTATATCTATATTTCCTTATGATCTTAATAGAAGGCTAAAGGTTTTCCACAAAAATATAAAACCAGAAGATGTGGTCTATAGTGATTGTGAATATTTTTAAGGGTTTGGGAAGACAGGTAGTGGTGAAAGAATCAGGGAAAGGCCTCAGGAACTACAGTTGCGTATGTGCAGATGCACAAAGTCCTGAGAATAAGGATCATAACATAAATGAAGTACTGTATGCTATAAAAACTGTAGCCTACATTGGGTTGCATGTGAAGTCTTTGGGATTGAGTGGACCTCCTGTGCAGAAAATTATAGCACTGTATCTCTGTCCAGAACGCACAGTGCTTCGTTTGTTCAGCGACAGGCAGGACTTGGATCATTTGTTGCTCTTTTCTTTGACCAGCTTGAGGAAGAAATCTGGAAATAAAATCTGGAACAATTATTGTACATAAACCATAGACATCAAAGAGGCAAAGAGCCTGAAATGCAGAGTGAAAATATACATTCATATAGACATGTTTCAAATATTCACACAGTGGATTGATTGTACAAGCAGTGTTGCTGCGTTGTTAACAATGTGTATTCATTCTGTGTTTATTTTACTGTGCTTTGAAAGTCCTACACCTTTGCGTGTGTGTGTGTGTGTGTGTGTGTGTGTGTGTGTGTGTGTGTGTGTGTGTGTGTGTGTGTGTGTGTGTGTGTGTGTGTGTGTGTGTGTGTGTGTGTGTGTGTTACTGATGCGGTTGTGTCCTGCAGGGTCCATCCCGTATGGAGCTGTCGAAGCCGCTGATAGCAGCAGTCAGCGGCTTTGCTGTGGCTGGAGGGCTGGAGCTGGCTCTGCTGGCAGATCTGAGAGTGGTGGAGGAGAGCGCCGTCATGGGGGTGTTCTGTCGCCGGTTTGGTACGTTTGACACCTCATGCTACTGCTACCACAGCTACTGTACTATGCTGTACTGTACTTCTGCTCCTTTCTTCCGAAATGCTACTGGTGCCATTGCTGCTGGAGGCTTTGTTACCTTTATTCAAGGTAGTTTCACTGAGACGTTAGGGCCTTGCTTGAGGGCAACTCAGTGTTGGGAATGAAGGAGATGGAAGCACTGCTCGTTCACTTCCTCCACCCAGGTTTATCCTTGTCAAAAGATTGACACAGCGACCTTCAGATCACAGGCTTGAACAAGACTTTTTCTTCAATTGATTCTTTTACTAACTACTGCCTCAGCTTTTATTTCAGCTAATATTGCTTCTTAAAGTTTCTCTAATGCTATTATTACTACACAATACCACCATGACAATTAACACCACCACTAGTTCAAATCTAGACTGCCACTAGTAGTCGTAGCAAGAATATGGTAGTAGTAGCTGTGCTCTTACAGTTGCTGCAACTATTTGAAACAATTCTCTTTACTTGTGCTATTATTACCTCAACTACTCCCACTACAGCTACTTGCTAATAGCGTATCTTCTGTCAATATTCACACTGCTGCTACTAGTTCAAGTGACTTTTTTCTATTTGATGTTCTTCTTATAGTAGTGGTACTAATTGGCACACTCAGTTTCTCTTCTTGTCCTGCTGCTGTTAATATTACTACTCTCATTACTGGCAGTGGATTAGGAATCTTTCTGCTGCCACTGCTGATAATGTATAATACATTTTCAGCAGACCAACTCTCTTCCCCCTCATTCTGTGTTTTGCGGCTCCGTGCTGAATGTATGATTGTGTTTTTCTTTGCATCTAAGCATACATCATCTGTCTCCTAATGCCAGGAAGTCGACACTGTTTCTATTTTTCAACTTCTGTCCTCTGTTATCACCCCAGCCTCCTCTTGTTTGTGTGCGAGGACCGAGTCACAGTGCGATAACACCAGTGACTGTGACCTTTTGGCTTCACAGCCAGAGTCTGCTGGGTAGTCTTGATAAGTAGGAGAGGAAGCGACCGACTGCCAGGTTTCCACTGCGGGGCCAAACAGGGCTTACATATTATTTATGTCACACAATTTCCTCATAAACAACATTTTCCTTTTTTGGCGTCTCATAGCTTACTGGCACGGTTTGCCCGCTGACTCGGCTATAGTTTTAAAAGAACAAGTAGTACTTTGGATCTTCTGCTGTAAACACTTTAAGCTAATCTTGATCCCAGCAAGTCATGGTTGGCTTTACTATGTAAAAGCAGCTCGTGTTGGACCATTGCAGCATCTCTCATATAGCCGTCATTGCTTTAGCCATGCTGCTAAAGGGTTTAAAATACGACCATGGTGTTTATAAATACAACTCTTGTACTATAATTTACTGGCAGTACTAGATTTAGAGTGTAAACATGCAGGGCTTATCATCTCAGGCCTGTAATTTAACAGGAGAGCATCCTGGCAGTGCCCTTGTCTTTCAGTCTTTCCCTTCAGACTGTCTGGTGGCAAGTCTTCAATGGCAGGCCACGCTCGAGGCTCTCTGCAGTGTTACTTTTCACTTACAGAACCATTTTACCATCATTATTGTAGATGATTCATTCAGTATTAATTTAACATCTAAGTTTTTTGGTATTTTTGTTTTTCTAACATTATTAATACTAATATTAATATTACTAATATTAATAACTCCCTGCTATTGCTAAAATTGTTCTTGCCTGCTCTTCAAGGAGTTTAAGGCTATTCTGGTCCTGGTTTGAAATTATTTATATAATATCTAAACATATTAATATATTAATTGTATTTAAAAAGCACCACAATTTAATGCTCCATATTAATAGGAAAGGGGGAACAAACCTTCACTAAAACAATATCTAAGTGTGTTTATTATTTCAGTCAATTCAGTTAGTTCATTGCCAGGACATTGTTGCTTCAACACCTTTTTGGTACTTAAGCAAAATAAGGAGTAAAGTTAGGGGATGGAAAGGTTTGTCACTGAAGATTTTTCCAGTTTTAGAGGCAAAGTTATTGTATAGCTGTTTATATTTAGACAACATTTGAGACATTTGGATTCTTTTGTTGTATGAAAAAAAAAAATTCTTTGCATATGTCCTTTGTATGTCATTAATTTGTGCCATTAGAATCAAAAAGTTAAAACATTGACTCAAGTTTTAAAAATAAATAACTCGCCTAGAGAAAGGATCATGCTTGCTACTAATTCTGTATTTTATCTGCTGTTAACATTCAAATTCTAGCAGCATCTTGCTGCCTGCCAGAAACAGAAAAGGAGAAGTAGGAAAATGTTCGTATTGAAGATAGAGGTTAAGAGTAGCGGAGACACGGGAGAAGACACACAATGCCAGAGTTACTTTTTTAAATTTTAACATTGCATTATCTGTGTCATCTGCACACAAACTGACAAACTTCTTTCAACAGAATACAAAAATCTAAGCGCTAAGCGTGTCCAAATAGGGATGAAATTAATCTGAAGCCTGCACTCAGACCTCTTCCATCAGCTCAAAACTATGTTTGGGAGGCAGAAATGAGCATTACTGCGGTTTCGACACATTAAGTTACACATTTCCTCCCAGTAATTAATTCTCTGCCTCTTGATTGCCACATATCTTCAAGGCTTGTTTGTCAACACATTTGAGTCGTTTCCCCCAGCTTAGTCACAACCACTGTGGTTTTTCATTCAGATGTGCATTTAGCAGAGTGATTATTACTGTGACTGCTGGTTTTCAGCATTTGTATACCCCTCTGTGTAGTTTGATGCCGCACAACCGGCATCTTCACCCCGTCAAGCCTGTAGTTAGTGTAGTTTGAATTGTGGCGTGGGTGAGGCAGCATTAGTTGGATTTAATGGTGCCGCATTCCACAATGAGACATTTCTCATAAGACCGTGAGTTTAGAAAAAAAAAACAGACTTTGCAGTGGAAAAGGACCCAGCAGCATGCATTTAAACTGACTTTATTTTGCTAACTTTAAACAATTGAAAACCAAACTTCCCTACCCATTTACATCAATCGCAGCTCTGCTCTGTGGGATGCACAGTTTATTTAAAGATCCTGTGTTTCTTACCGATTATTTCCTTTTAATGGTTGAATTCTGTAACCGTTTTGGGGTCGGACACAGATGGCAGCAGCCGGAGGGAATCCCTGGTGGCTTTGGAGTCGAAAAACCCTCAGAGGCTCGCTGCAGCGCTCTGATGTGGGCCAATGGCAACCATAAGGATCTGACAGCTTTCTGGCATGTGATTGGCTGCCGAACCTGTGGCTTCCTGTCTGGGGCCCCTCTGCCCCGCCGAGGAGGAAATGAGAAGGAGGAGATGGTTGCGTCACAGGAGTCTGGTATTAGTGTCTACTGCTCATTGGATTTTTTTGAAAGACCTGAATGAAAAAACACTGAGCTTACCTAATTCCCTGATGTTATTTTGGTTCCCTAAACCAGAGGAACATCTCAAAGCAAAAAAAAAAAAAAAAGTTGGCAGCGGAAAAGGAAACTTAAAATAGTTCAGTAATACTTCATTCAAGGGTTTTCCTTTTTAAACGGTGAGGCTAAATCAAGCAAGCACGGATTGTTACGATAGTACTCCTCTGATTTTCCTGTTTGAAATGGAGACCGCTAAATGGAGACCCTTTCTCTCCTTCCCAGTTTCAAGTCCTTGTCTCCTACCTGGACGAGCAGCAGATAAAGAGTGCCAAAGGAGGAGAAGCCACATGTTGAATCGAAGTCAAACCTCAGTCCAAAGCTGACATAGCTTTGGCCAATTCAAACACCCGCTCAGTGAGTTTGAAACTGAGTGACATAGTCCAGTGATTACATCATCTCGCCTCAAAACCGGCACTGTTTTTGAAACTTCAGGTTTCTTTTCCATAAAGAGTGAATGGACACAGTAGTTGTGTGAGACAGAGATCGGACAACATTTTAAGGGCATACACTGATGGCAAAATATGGGCATTATTTTACAAATGGCTTTATATTAATCTAAAGGCAAGTAATCACAACTCATGTCTTTACTAAATATTGACTTATTTGAAACTTTGTTCTTGAAATGTAGTGACTTTGGGGCAGATTAGGTTGCTAATAGGATCTGATCATATTTAAACTTTTATTTTTGGTTCCTTTTTACGAGGTGCTACACGTCCATTTTCACGGTTTAAGGCCCTGTTTGCAGCCTTGGTGGTCTCACATAATGGTGCTCTGCACAGTAAAGAATACACAGCCCTGGTATTAACTCAGTGGCCTAAATATATGAAATCAAGTTAACTGTGTGGCACTCATCTTTGACCTAGCCCAATGGCAGTTATTTTCCTCAATTCCCAGTGAGTATTTCAAAATGTGCCTCTGATTGAAGGTCTGCTCTTTTCCCTCTGTCCATTTAGTCTGGAGCAGTCCGGAAATCGTTAATCCACATCAAACTTAATCGCATTACCCTCATGGGAGGCCATTGTAGTGGGTTTTACTTTGATGTGGTGAGGACGCCAGCAGCACCAGCAGCAAACGAGAACACCTCAGTTTGTCATGTTTCACACTCTGTTCACTGGTTATTAGCAGCTGTAGATGGTGGATGCCCCCGTGGAGTGTGGTCTCCTCTCGTCACTCTTTGGACCAATATCAGGCACAAAAATTATGACTTTTCAGGGCTAAGTTACAGAGCAGCAGTCTCTCAGCTGGTAGGGATTCACTGTCTTCATCTGACATTTCAGCAGGGCGAATACTTGCTGACACGTGGGCTTGAAAACATGGCTGTTTTTCTTTCTTAAAAAACTGCTTCCTGGTTCAAGTTTACAAACTGAACAGAAAAGTCATATTAGAGTTCACTTTTATGTCACTCTAGATTGACATTCATCATGCAGGTCAGCTGGGCCACTTTCAAAAACTAAAGTGAACAGCCAAGTCGGACTGTTTTTGTTTTTCCTGTGATGTGAGTTAACCTTATAGTCCTTATAGTCCAAAAAGCACCTGTTTTTGATTTTTGATTAGTTGATCAGTAAAGTTTATAGCAGTTAAGAACAGTGTCATTACTAAATGTGACTAGAGGATTATTCAAATATTATACAAAATGTATGGTGCTGAAAAATGTAATGAAATACTTTTAAATGGTCTGTTTTCAGCAAATGAATGCTGATTGAGGATCAAACAAAATACCTAAGAAACCTTCTAAATGCAAAAACATTTTCTGATGACTCAAATAGGATTCGGGAAGATCTCGACTGTGCTGCTATCGCAGGCCAAAACATTATACCAAACTCTGTAGCAGCTAGATAAAATACAAGGTTTCTTCTTTCCTGCACACTTCTCTCTACACATCATTAGATAAGCCGTGGCCCTGTGATGCAGGAAGAGAAGCACCTCTTATATCTAGTTATTAAACAATGGGCTTTGTTGACTCATGTTCAGCCTTGTTAATAACAAGCCGCAGTCTTGACAATGGGCTTATCTGCTTTGAACAAGAAGGCAGAGGGCTCCTTTGCAGATGTTTAGCTCATTATTGAAGACCAACGATGACAAATCCGCACTTTTGTTTAGCGGATGCTGATTATCTTCTATCAGGATCACTGCCAAACATTTTCCTCTATGAAACTTGGAATAGGGGATGAGAAGCTCCCCAGCCTCAGCCATCTTCTTTCAAGCCAAACATGCCTTTTGAGTTAAAACTTCTTCAAGGACGGGCTCCCAACCCTTCCAGCTCCCATTCATGTGGGTCTGCGTAAATTCCTGCAAACAGGACACATCAGAGACGAGACTATCAGACAGAGGGAGGAGGGTGAGGGTTGGAGGTGCTGGAGACGAGTGCTGTGGATAAGACTGGAGATCCTTCCGGTTGCTGATAGCGATGGTGCCAACAGCAGCACCAAAGACAGACAGACTGGAGGTCAACCTGGAGCTTTATCTATCCTTTTTAGAGTCACGGTTGTCCTTCCTCTGCCTCATTCCAGCTCTGCGTACCTCTCTCTGTTTTCTAGCAAGCCTCCTGTCTCTCACTGTCATTCTTCTTTCTGTCGTTTGCTTTAATCAAAGGTGATTGTTGCCGGACACAAGATAGAGGAGCTCTCACAGGGTATTTCTGTAGCAGCAACAAAGGACTGTAGAGTAACAAAAAAGAAATTATGATTTGATTAAAATATTATGAAATATTGAGTCACTCAGCTGTAACACCTGAGAATTAGGAAAAAGTTGTAGAAAGTTAGCAATCGGGCAGATAAGTGTGAACTGTTAACTAAAAGAAAGATGTAGTTCATTAGACAGGTGCATAGGAGTAGGATGAGTAGATCAGAAAGTTGCAAAGATAGATAACCAAGCTGTCCAACTTATTAATTAATATTTGCGATGTTACATTATGTAAGAGTTTAATTGTATGAAAAGAATATTACCGTAATATCCACTTCTATATTATCAATAGAAGTTAAATACTAGTTGAAAATATATTCAAATGAACACATTTGGAACAATATTGGTGGTGTTGAGTGATTGAGTTAATCTGATTGGGCGGTGGGTGTAAATCATACAATTCAAAGAGGTTTTATTGGCACTAAAGGGACCACTGGACTGCAGGATGGTGTGTGTGGGGGTGTGTGTGTGCGCGTGTGTGCGTGCGCGCACATGTGTGAGAGACAGAGCTATAGAGTGCCTGCTGTACCGACACACAAGCAATGCCCTTGTGCATCTGACTGTAGTTACATGTGGTGCAGGACGAAGCTCCACAGAGAGAAACCTTGGCTCAAACACTCAGTTGTTGTCTCAGTCAATATCGAAAAGACCTTGAACCTCACACACACACCTGCGCTGCAAGGCTCCGTGCTATTCTTCTAATTGAATTCCTGCAAAAAGCAATTCAGGCATCATTTATGCTGCATTTCATCGGCTCGGAGGGCTCAGCTGTGCACTCTGTAATTTCCATTTCAGTAGAATTACATTCCTGTAATGGGGGATGACTGAAAAATTGAGTGAAATCTAGTATTTGCAGACAGTGTAACACCCTCCTCCCCCACCTAATTACAGTCTTCTGTCTGTCAGAGTACCCTATGTGCCGACTGTCTGAACCCAAACCAGGCCCCTGGATTGGTCGCACGTGCATCGACACTGGTATTCCATGTATTCCAATTTAATTTATTTGAACGGCACGGAGAAAGAGAGTAGCTCAAAGAGTATGAATAGAATCACAGTATTTCCACGACTCCCTACAGAACGAGAGAGGAGGGAGAAAAAAAACAACAACTGAAAGCTAGCATGATGATTTGGGGTTATGAAAACATGTCCGACACATGTGCTCTCAATAAGGGGCGGTCAAATAGAATCAGCGACTTGGAGGAATTAGGGAGTCGGGATTGTGGTGTAGAACTTGGGAGCGCTGAACGGTAGAAAGTATGCCTGTTCCAGCTGGTGCTCTTTAGAAATTAGGACAGATGCCAGAAGCTTACTGTACCTTGCAGTGTGCTCTTTCTCCACTTGTTTCTCCCTTCAATCCTATCCTTCTTTCTCTCTGGTAGACTCAGTAATAATGCAAATGTGTCCGGTGAGACTGAGAGCAAGGAGGAGTTTTGAGTTCTCACGTACTGACGGAAAGAAAACAGAGTTACGGTTAAGGAGTGAAATTGTTTCAAAACTTTGCTCCCCTGACAGCTGTAACCTAGATTAATGCCAGCAGTATATTAAGTGTTTCTTTGGCTGTTTTTCACACGGCATAAGTGATCTGAACCCAATACACTGGCCATTGACAGTGGCACAGTGGCCTACACTTCCTTTCACCCTTTACGGTTAAGTAACTCAAATTTCTGTCTAAAGGTAATTTTAGAGGCCCCTCCGTCCCCTTCCTTCCTATAATAAATATCCTAATGTGATGTAGTTATTAGCAGTCAGTAATACAGATTACTCTACAGTGTGTAGGATGGGGCTGCAACTAATAATCATTGTCATTATCTGTCAATATTTGTATGTAGTTATTGGTTAGATTAATACTAACTAATAACTAATACTAACAGTGACTGATACTGACTGACTAACTGAATACTAGCTAAGTTTGAGGCCCAAGGATTTTTGTATAAATTAATATTTAGGATAGTCTGCAGTACACATCAGAGGGTCTGCAAGATGGCACAGAGACATATTTTATACTGAACATCTCCTCTTCTTTCAGGAGTTCCCCTGATTGACGGAGGCACAGTTCGGCTCCCTCGCCTCATTGGTCTGTCACGAGCCCTCGACCTGATTCTGACTGGACGGCCAATCGGAGCGCAGGAAGCTCTTGCGTACGGTCTGGCTAACAGAGTTGTTCCTGATGGCCAAGGTATGGCTGGATATTGATCATATATTACTAGATATGTAGCAGAAAACTTTAATTAGGCAAAATGTATTTAACATTATTATTATTATTATTATTATTATTATTATTATTATTAATTCAATGCCATTTATCTTGTTAAATAAAAAGAAAACGCTGACATATCTTTTCACAAACTAAATTATTAAAAAAATCTTCTCAGATATTTTTTCCAACAAAATAAACACCAATTTTTATGTTTTCAAATAAATTGGTTTCTTGATCAGAGGGCCAGAGTAAAAACACAAGTTATTACATCATTTAAAAGTGGTCATCAGCCTAAAACATGACCACCACTGCAGTGCTTTTGTGGATTCATCCTTTAGTCAAATATAGCCAATTTTTTTTCCACTAGTGACATAAAAAATGTTGTCGAATTGGAGGTAAAAGGAATCCAGGAAACTGGAAATTCAGTCCTGTGCAGCATACAAGATTGTTAATGGTATGTTTACAGTGTATTGTAGTTAGTATTACCAGGCATTAGATGACAAATGGCAGAGGTGGGGGGGGTTTGGGGTTGAGTAGAAATCCTTGTGTGAAGACCAGTCATGCTGCAAAAGAAACAGGCCTGTGACCTATTTTCATTCAGGAAACATAGTTTTTAAGAGACTGTCTTGTAGGTAAGATCAGACAAAATCATATATAATCTAAATTTGTTCCAGTGAATCTGTTTTCTTTATTTGGCCCCAGCTCTGCGCCGAAGCCATAACTCACTATTAGCACCGTCCCCTCCGCACTCATCCAAGCAGCAGTCTGAGGATTAAGCTATGCTTTGCAAAACGGCATTTCCCCTATTATATTAATGCATGCACTGATTAGATGTTTTTGTCTTTTAATATTGTTCTGATTTCCATATTTGAATGCACGGACGCTGCCATATCCTTAAATCCCCCCAAAAAAGGCCTCTCCGTCTGCGTATCTCTGATTCCCTCCCCTCTGTCTTTAGACGTTAGAAGAAGATTAGCGTAATTCTTTTAGGAAGTTCCTCTTCCCACAGTCGAGCCTCAGCCTAATTGGCCTCTCTGAGGGATGATCACTTAGTGCGGGTTTAACATCAGAGAGCGGCGAAGAAGTAGCAGCTCGACAACACATACACACACGCGGGGCATCAAAGTGTGGCATCATGAGGCGTAGTTTTTTCCATAGGATTAATCTGGATGTGGTCCAGTGGTTTCATGTGGGTTAGAGTAAAGCTCACTGAGACACAGCAGCAGGGAAATGCAGCGTGGAAGAACTGGTGATTTTGGCTTTTGTACTAAGAAAAGGGGTTGTTAACACATTAACCTGTATGCATTTCCTATGTTATAAAAGGCCAGATTTCCTAGTGTGTGTATAATGTTCTTTATGTGTTTGTCTGTGTCACTGTGTTGGGCTGACTTCAATGTTGCAACCACAGCTTTACAGGCAGCCCTGCAGTTAGCAGAGCAGATCAGCTCCTTCCCTCAGAAGTGTCTGCGGGCCGACCGCTCCTCAGCCATGTACAGCTGCTACGACGCTCCGTCCTTCACACAGGTACGCCTGATGTAGAGATGTTACACTGTCATACCTTATCCATGATGCCAACATGTCAACTTCCTATGACACAGTACAGAATATAGTATAGAATAGCAAAATATGAATAAATTATTTCTTGTAATTATCTTCAAAATTTTGCACAATGTAACTTTTTTTTAATTAACTGGGATTTTCTGGTTCTTTCATGGCTCAAGTTAATATTTCTTGCTTTCTGTCATATTTTAAATTGTGACCCTCAAACAATTTGCCCTCTCAAATTGATATTTAAAAACATTTTTTAATTAATTGATCTAATCTTTTCCTCTGTCCAGGCCATGCAGTATGAGATCGACCACGGAGTTCCTGTCATCCAATCAGAAGCTGTCACTGGGGCAACCAGGTTCACTACTGGAGCTGGAAGAGGAGGAAAATTCTCCTAGGATTTAGTTTGCAGAGGCCTTGTGAATTGTGATTTTCAGGTGACCTAACACATCTTGCTGCATCCATGTTGGAAGTGAATGGTTACGTTTTCAAACCTACAGTAAAACTTCGACAATACTGAACAGAACTAGTCTATTTTGTATTCTGATAATTCCAGCCCATCACTTAGCCAATCATATTATATAATAGTGACAAGTAGTTGGGTCAGATATGAACTAAGGAACTAAGTTGACTTTTTTTTTAAGTCATGCAACTGCATGGCAAAGGGTGAACATATTCACTGTATTCACCTTGTTTGGTCTGGGTTGCAGTTTTTTGAGAAATAACATCCAAAATACCAAAAAGATGAGACACAAAAATAAAGTTAGTCTAAAGCCACAATTTGCAATTGTTGAACAGCACCACTTTCCTCCCAACTGTCAGTCCCCAAGCTCCACATTGCAGCAGCATGTACACAGCTGTTTTTAAATGAAGGCCACTTGGACTCTGATGGATGGGAGGGAATGGAGCTCCACATCAAGTATAGACTGAGGCTTTAACTTTCATTTTCTTGATGCAAAACACACACACACACACACACACACACACGCACAGGCAGAGCTGTGTCTTTCTTCACCAAAACGTGGTTTAACCCAAGCTGATTAAACCAAACTGTCTTTTTTTTAATTTGAATATAAGCCTGTCCTCTGATTTCTTCATTTTTTGAATTATAAATATGTATGTTGTTTCAAGAAATTGTCTTTTTTTCCAAAGCAAATCATTGAGGAGAATCACTGGGATATGGTTATGTGCTGGGCGATGCAGAGCTATAGGAAGCTGCGACCACAAATCTAATCCAACACAATAGACTAAAAAGGCATCAAAAGCACGAAACCTGCAGCAGCTCGCCATTGTTCCTTTGACTTAAAAAACACTTGATGACTGGGATAAGACGTGTGTGCGTGTGAGTGTGACCTAGTAACCATAGCAATATACTGTAATTATTGCAGAAGATTCAGCACTTCTTGTCAGATCTGTGCCAGGTGTAAGCATTCCTATGGTTTTGGAGCACACTTCCCCTTAATTTTGTGTGTGTGTGTGTGTGTATGTGTGTGTCTCGTACTGGCGCACAGAGCACACATACAAGACTCTTTCGTGACCTTTTTAAATGCTCTTTAATAAAAATGTCTCGCAGGAAGACTGAAGACGAACTAAAACCAAGGTGTGTGTGTGTGTGTGTGTGTGTGTGTGTGTGTGTGTGTGTGTGTGTGTGTGTGTGTGTGTGTGTGTGTGTGTGTGTGTGTGTGTGTGTGTGTGTGTGTGTGTGTGTGTGTGAGAGACAGAGAGAGAGTAGAAGAGATAGATACAGACAGACAAAGACCTCATTAGGGCTAGGAGGTGTCCTGTCTAGACAGTGTGATGACAGGACACAGAACCTCTGTTTAATGTTTCCTCCTCCTCCTTCTGCTTCCAATTCACCCAGCATACACACACACACACACACATCACCTGCTCTGCCTCCGGGGATGCGCATACACACACAGTTGCTTAATGTCAAGCAAAATGTTAAGCACATATAGAAGTATTTAAGTGCTTTGTTCAGTCATTGTCAGTCCACAGTGTGCAGCTTGTTTGTTGCTGGATTGTTGTGAAAGTACCATGTACCGTTTTTTTTTTTTTTTTGTGCTGGCGTGTGTTTGTTTAATATGACACATGCCCAAGGTTAACAGTCCATGAAGTGTTTAAAACATGGATTTCATGAGCTGCCTCATACGATGCGGTAGAAATCAACCATTTCCTTTCATAGTTTTATCCGCAAAACGACTATTTTCCTGTGTTCTGGGTTCAGTGCTAGAGCCAACAAAGCATCATGAGGAAACTCACCATTCACTGGACCTTAGCCAGCAAGTCTTTTTTTTTTTAAATTGAGTTTGTTGCTCAAACCCAGCTTAACCGCTGAATCTGCGTTATAAATCAGGAGTAAATGAATGGGGATTTTGAGTCCAAGAAAAACTGAAAAAGCTGATAAATGACTCTGTCTGTCTCTGTCAGCCCAGTATGGTGTCTTCAGTCCTGCTTTTGGTACTTTGGAATTTGATCAGTCGGGTCAACTCTAACACACAACCAGGCACACAGGTACACACATAATTTTATCTCAAACATGTCTTTGCACATTATTTTCATAATATTTCATCTGTATTGACAGGATTTCTGCTTGGTAGAAAAACACATTTGTAATGGTTGCCAGTAATATTAAAGAAAAGTCTAAAGTTTTAATGAATGGGCAATAACGTGCCAAAACACCAGCATGGTCCTTTAATATGCTATAAAAGGACTTATATAAACTAAGAATATGATGTTTTGTTTTAGCTGTATGAGAGTGAGGTGGGGGGGGGTAGTGGTGGTATGTGTAGCTTTGATGCTGCTTCTCACTCTTCACATGCAGATAAGATAGGCTCTGGCAGCAGCAGCAGTAGCAGAGACACAGATATGGACACCTTTGGGCCTTATCACCAGGACCATCACAGTCTGAAGGGGCCACGAAGACATAACACAGGTTAGGGTGAAAGGGATGATGGGAGGAAGAAGAGGAAATAAGGATTTTAAAGAATTCCCTTTGCTGTTCATGTAGAGCTTCCTAGGACACATTCAGCTGTGCTCTGGTTGTGTAGGCTATAGCATATATAATACTATAACATGACATTTTACAGCAGGCTTTTTCATAATAAGTCATATTTGAAGGTGTATACCCATCATGCAGCTGGATTACATTTTAACTGTTTAGTTATACAATCAATTAAAATACTTAAGAGTCTATTTCCATAGTGTCTGAAGGATCACTGCTCCTCTGTAGGTGCTGTGCGTCTTTGCTTGCTGTTTCCCACTCCATCGTCAGGGGTCGTGCCTCAACTGGGCAACACTTACTCTGCTGCAGCGGAGTGGACACACACGCACCTATTGATTTCGGACGTGTAAAGATGTAACCCATGCATTTCCGGTGCCGGTTTTTTCTGATTAGAGGAGTCAATTACTTCAGGATGCGACGCGCAACTATCCAAACATTTTAAAACAAAGTGTAACCCTCAATTGTTACGGGCCAATCTGGAGTTAGACACCAATATGAGTAAAAACATACAGAAGTGGCAACAAGAAATGTCAAACTGTGCTTATGAAGAAGCCATTTCATCACAGAGGCTTTAAAAGACCGTAACAGGAACATTATGAGCAATACAAATGCAACTCTTTATTAGAATAGACCGGCTGTTATTCTGCTGCGAACAAAATATGGAAATACGATGTTAGAGTCGTCCTTGTAGCTTGAAGAGCTCCACCTCTGGATAAGTGCGCACGGAGTGGGCGGTTTCTGAACACACACGGACGCACACACACGCTTACACGCGCGCGCACGCATATTATGGACTGCAACCTGCGGATTCCTGTTAGACTCTCATACACAGCCTGTAGGAGTGGGTGCCCGTCACCGAAACCACTTCCAACTGTTAAAGGGTGGCTTTTTGTCAGTGCGCAACGCTGGGAACGGTTTTATGTTGGAGAGCAAACATACCCGCTTAAGTAAAATGGCTTCTTTCAAAGGACTTATTATTTTATTGGTGAACTTCGTATCAAACGCTGTCTTTTGACCGACTTACCGGAGCGCTCAGAATAAAGTTTCACATGGTGCACTTTATCCTGAAGCAGCACAGCGCGCTACGGGAATCAGAAATGAAAGCAGGACCGACTCTATTTTGCGCATTTCTCTTTAGAAAGTATTTCAAATGGCTTGATACACGAGCCTTTCCTCGCTTTTGATCTGCGGCTGAGACAGATAACAGCGCGCTCGGGCGGACTTTGGTTACCATTACGCACATTTTTACATTTGGATAGGCGACTGAAGCTCCAAGCCAGACACCCTTGGGACTCCGGAGAGCACAGCGGGATAACACCATGACCAGCTGCTGGCTTGCCTTGGTCGGATTGTGGTGGAGCGCTTATTACTGCATGTTCCTGGTCGCGGGGAGTAATTATTCACTGGATGGAAACAACGAAGTGCACCCGGGTTTCATCCACCGGCGGTTGCGGACGCACGAGAAGAGGGAGATGCAGAAGGAGATCCTGTCCATCCTCGGGCTGCCGCACAGACCGAGACCGCATCTGTCACACGGAAAGTACAACTCCGCGCCACTGTTCATGTTGGACTTATACAACACCATATCTAGCGAGGAGAAAAGTCAAGTGGACGGCATGCTGGACCGATATCAGACCATGCGGACGACCCAGAGTCCTCTTCTGGCCACATATCAAGAAACTGCCTTTCTGAATGACGCAGATATGGTGATGAGCTTCGTTAATCTGGGTAAGTTACTTGAAATCATTTTATTCACCGGTGATTTGTTCTGTGCGTAATTGCGCTCCTGTGGGACGGATTTTAGTTGGAACGATGAGTCAAATAGAATATCTAATTTTTGCGACATTGAATTAAGGCTGAACAGGTGTTTGGCACAAGCAAAGTTGAAGCGAAAGGGTCGCTGGGAAAAATCTTACACAACAAAATCTTGTGCATTTTATGGAAATATGTTTCCTAAAAATAAAGCATGAATTAGGTCGGCTAATCTTAATATATGTATATTTTTTTCACATTTGATCCATGTTGAAGACACCTGGAGCTCTTGACGCATATTTTAATTTACCACTCCATCACCGAGCACAGGACATTAGCACAGCGGACGCACCGTTACGCACGTTCAGTAATGGATCATGAACTAGCTCATTGTGTGAGCCACACAGAGGCCATATACTCCCTCATCTCCTCTGTGGGTTACAAAAACTGATGAGGTATGTATTGTTTGGGTGTAATTTATTGTTACACGTCCTCTCTCCGGGTAGATTGGCCCTCCTCGGCTCATTTATAGGACCAAAATTCTGCGGTCAGTCTTGCTGTGCAATCTGCTCCATGATTTATGTCTTCGCGGGAAAATAGACCTAGTATCCTCAGCAAACCATCAACCACCACCGCTGGTATTTGTATATAAAGGGCTATTCCTGCCGTTGACCTCCAGCGCAGAGAGTTGCGGTTTCTGCGCAATTGCGTCGCATTGTTTGTGTTACCCAAGCAGATTTGTCTTTAATTAGCTCCAGTGACGATAAAAAGGCACACTTTAATCATAACGAGTTTGGAACATAAAAGCCATAAGGCCTTCCTTCCATTAGCAGCTCCAGTGTTTACTGGGAGACTCTAAACAGAGCGCCTGAAGATAAACAGAGGCGCTGCCAGAGTCAGACGCTGGTGGACAAGGAGGCTTAAACCCAGATTGATTGTCATTCTCCTTGGGAACTAAGGGCATTGTCATCATCAGGCCATGAGAACAGTGGGGATGTATCACTGCTGAAGAATGTAGTCTCATGTTTTTTTTTTTTTTCGTTTTTTTTTTCTGACTTCTCTTGAAACAGGAAGTCCCTCAACTATTGTCTCCCTCACCTTTATAAACCATTTAATAGTCACTCACTGCCACACATGAAGAAGAGAATTAGGATTGGAGTTAGAAAAAGCAAATGTTTCTCTACTTATTGGTCCTGTGAGTATTGGTGTTGCAACATGCAGTGATGAAAACCAGATATTCAGACAGAGGGAGGCCGTCGTTTTGGTCTCAAATATCGAAGCCCCTCTGTTGGCTTCTGTGTGGGAGTGTGATGGTGGCGGCGTGGTGTTTGTGTGTCTGTGGTTTTGGTATTCCTGTACTGTGTAAGTTTGGGTTCATACTCCTGTGTTGTTGCACATCTGGCTCTCCACTTTGATTAATCGCGTCCTGTGCATCTTTTGACGATTCCCTCAGATTTCTGCGGTGACCGGGGGATTAGGTTGCCATCTCCTCCAGCCGTACACAGAGTCCTAACCGCCCTGGAGGAGGGACGGCTTCCTCCCTGAATGTGATTGTAATTAATGTTGGACAGGCCAAGGCTTTCCATCTGCTTTGCAAATAAGGCCTTGCACGACTACCGTGTGTCATCGCCATCCGATTAGTTTTTAATGTGTCTCTTTCTCGATTGGGGCGGTTTGTGTGGAGCGACTCAGAAAGCTTTAGTAGAAAGAGGCCTGAAACTCTTCTGGGTGGTCCTCCTTGTTTCAAAAGCGGTCTTAAGATCTGGATATCACGTGTGGCCAAAGTGAAACTACAAATTAGAATCAAGATAAATGAAAGGAAGAAAAGCGAAGAAGCCAAACAAGCTGTCTGAAACGATTTGAAGAATATGGAGCAGGATCAACAGACAGAGCCTGAAGCGGACGTATCCATTGAAAGGCACCTTCCCCGCCTTTAATCTGTGTTTGTGAAACCAAATCAAAGCAAAAGAAGAATGCAGTGGCTCTGTTTACACCGATGATGTGATTCAAAACTGGATTCACCTTTTTACATTAGCAAATTCTCAGTGCGTGTAGATGTAAGAATCTCCGACTTTAAAGTGGCCCACAGCAAATAAAACGATGACAGTGATTTAAGCTTCGGCCTGAGCTGATGTCTTTCACAGCCAGCTGCGGCAGTAGCACAGATAGAGAGCTCATTTTCTGAGGGTATTCTCTTGGGGCTCGGGTAGATTTAAGAGCCCCTGCGTTACATCCAGTCTCAAGTGCGCTCTCTGCGAACCATATGCCCCCTCCCACCTCCACTCCTCTCTGCATGATTCATATAGACCTCTTGTTCAGTCATCCATTCTCCTTAGCTTTCATCACTTGTTCAGAATGACCCTTTGAAAAAAAAAAAAAAAAGGAGAGCAAGTGGTGGAAAACTTAAAATTGGGGGACCAGAAGCATATTTTCCAGCTCCTTTTTCATCTTCATTCCTAGAATAGCGCGTTCATCACTGTTTGCCTTGCGGACGTCCTGCTTTCCACTGAGGTCTAGTGAAGTGACATTGTGTGCTGAATGACTCATGCCGTGTGACACGCTGCAGCTCCGAACATGTCCTAATGCCCAGCAGGGTCTTCGGAGTTTTAGACCTCTAGTAGCGCTGGAGTTGTTTGTGAGTGGGTCCCTGTTTTGTTAGCCTTGTGCACATGCAGATAACAGTTTTCCTTTGTGGCTTAAACTTGCGGACACACTGACTTTGAACATGAAGTCAAATGATTTTACCATTTAATTTATAAGAGGAAACAGATAGTCTTACCTTAAACAGACAAACAAATGTCATTTGTAGTAGAACATCTTTAAAAGTCCCACTGAGGAGACTGTGTGAAGTTTAAGCCCGATCTTTCATATTTATATTTTTGGAGTTGACACACATTTAGTGGAAAAGGGATGACCTACCCTTTTTAAAATGCTGGTCTCTAGTTACAGTCCTTTTTATAAATCCCTCACAGTGTAGTGTATTGTGGAGTCAGTGGGGAGACACTGACCAATATTGGTAAGGTGCACCCCAGTGGAAAACAAATACAAGTGGTCAATGCTCACTCAATTAATGAGGGGTGACATATTGGCGAACAAATATCCGTAGCCACAGCGAGGGCTATAATAGCCAACAGGGGAAAATTTGCTATTCCTATCAGGTTTGGTTTTTGTGGTGGAGCTGTTACCTCGTGGTTACGGGGAGTCAAGGATGCACAGAAATGGCTTTGGTTTCACGGGTCACAGAACAGGAAGTCCAAATGTTGTTCCTGTGTCATCTGTGTTTAACTGTGATGAGTTAGCTTTGCCGTTGCTCTCCCATGCCAGCCAGACAGACAGGTGTGGAGGCCTGTTTAAGCTTGGCTTGGCTCAGAGCGCAGCCACAGCTCCCGATGCTTGTTTGCTCTCCCATCCTTTGCTGTTTGTCTGCTGGATCTTACCAGAGGGAATGTCCCATAATAATCCAGGAAAATCCATTTGTGGTTTTAGAGTCAATCTTTTACTTTTCCTACAGTTTTAACCATTATACCATTTCACTATTAACAGGTGATCTTGACCCTGTCGTCCTTTTAATTGGCTGTTTTCTCTTCTAAGGCTCCGTTTACACTCATTTCAAGAGTCTGTCGGATAAAATCCAGATGAGTTTTGACAAACATTTGTTGACTCCAAGCTGCATATATATGTCTCCGTTATCCAGATTGCAGATCATTATCTGATTGTTTTGGTTTTCCCTGACTACATGCTAAAATCAGGGTCTTTGCTACTCCAATCCAGAAGATGGTTTTAATGCACTTGAAGCTTTTTGATACCAACTAATTTCAACTATGACTATAACTTAACTAGTTTGACTACGAGAATGACAAAAGTATTGATGATCTTACCAGCCTTTCACACCGTTCTCTCACCCGTACACATCAGTCGGTGGTTGAAGTGATCAGGGATGAAAAGGCTGAATCACACATGCCTCCGGTAGCTCAAATATCATAAAATTATTTTATGCTTTCGTGCACTTGTCTGTCATCATGACTATTCTCCTTTTCACCTTCTCCTCTCTCCTCTTCGTCTCTGCACACCCCATTGCATGACTATAGCTGAGCTGTCACTAGACCTCTTACCTAAGTCAACAGCCAAGCTTTCTACTAGCCTACCTCCCACACTTTAAAGGCAAACAAGCCAGAAGCTTTAAGAAGTGGGTTTTCAGGAGATTAGCCGGGTCCAGACAGCCCTGGGATTATTTTGAAATGAAGTGCCCTTATTAAATGGCTGTTTTCCTTGTCTTATGATGCCTGGCTGCATTTCTCACTGCCTAAGCCCAGGTAAGCCACTTCCTTTGCAGCGAAACGTGTCCCAAAGCCCCAGCATGATCAAATAATTAGTTGGCTTCGATCAAAGAGTCAATTGTTTGATGCAGAAGGGAGCTTTGGAAAAATTTCACTAAACTGTCTTGAAACACTTCCTGCAAAGCCTCAGAGACCAGAACACAACACAAGACCACCCGTCACTTCACCTCAACTTTGAGCATACCGTAAACAGTATTAGCTAGAAGTTAAGCGAGGAATTCAAGATATGCTGCAGCGGAATAAAGGATATTTTCTGTGGCATAAACTTGGCAGTTGAAACCTTCCTGCAATGGTGAGAAAAATTACATTAACAAACTACAAACCTCTGTTTGTTTTCATCTGTTTACTGTATCAGATATTTCACTGCCGCTACAAGTTCACTTGAACTTGCAGTGATGTTCAAGAACGGCCCAAGATATACAAATAATTCTGCTTATTGAGTTACAGTGTTTTAAAGTGCTTCCTTTTTCTCATGTTTGGATTGTATTGGTTGTCAAGCTCTCTGGCAAAACACACAGCTGCCTCAAGAAACAAACAGGGTTGATGGGGGAAACATCTCCAGTTAACCAGATTATGTCTTTTCCAGTCCAGTTTTATGTCTGTCATAAAAGACGACGTGTTGCAGGACAACTATATTGT